GCATGGAACAAAAATAGCCAAAATTATCTTGACTTTTTCTCCCTGCAGCTTTCTCTCTTTTCCCCCTGCCAAAGCATTCAAGAAAAGGCCAGCCAGTAGGTTTCCGGCCTTCCATTATTGAGAAAATTGGCATCTTGGCTAACCTATGATATTATACATTAATAAATTATAGAAGTAATATTTATCCCTCAAATGAAGCTGCTGGACTACTTGCCACTATAGCAACGAACTAATGCTCTGTAGTATTCAACACCACAGAAACATGAAGGCTGCTTGCATGATTTGGGTATGCTAGCAGCTTTTAGAGTTAAGAGGGTTAAGCATAGCTATCTGGTATATGCAAGTGCTGCATTTAAAGATTTATTATTTTCATAGAAAGTCTTACATTAAACAGCTAGCAGTACCACTTAAAATTTCATTATAATGTCGGTTTCATAACACTCAATTTCAGCCTTCACAAATAATGCCTTATGTTTTGAAGTTAGCTGCTTCAATCCCACCCAGATAGTGCTTTATAATGTTCAACTAAATGAACATTAAATGAACAAAACTAACGAACACTAAAAGTTTTACTTCTAATATTGACCACCCAGAACTATTTTCATAAAGTTATCAAACTTTGATACTTTTTGCAGCCCTAAACAGTTATATCAATCAGAAAACTGTAGACAAATGGCATCTATCATTTGCAGCAGATCAACTTCTGAGGCCGTGCAAGTGAGCCACATACCACTGTAAAAGTGATATTTAAAAGCACCTAAAACATACTACTTATGCAGTTCTAATTTTAGGATTACCTCCTCACTCAAGACTTAAGTTTCCATAGTCAGAAAAGTAAAATTTGTGGTAGACAGCTACTGTCTTATTCTTGGACTATACACTTATATTCATATCTGCAAATTAAAAAAATTAAATACTTCCCTACTTCAAGGCCAGTTCTGACATATGGATGAATTCACAATTGAGCCTAGTTACTTACCACTGCTGACAAGATCACATACTAAAGATTCAAACAAATACAACCCTTACTCCTGAGCAGATTTATTTAGTTTAGGCATTTTTTCTTGGCTTATTAGAATCTTCAGAGTTTAGCTCCTTCTCCCTTAACGAGTATGGGAGAGTTGAGACATTTCTGTAATATCTTCTCACAAAAATAAAGTTTTATTTCTCCTAGGCGACAAATATAATTTCTACTGCTGTACTGCACAGCTGTCTCAAAGGAGATCCAAGGGGCTGACTGTTCCATCTTGTTTCTCTAACAGCTGCACCACATGGTGCTGTGTAGAACCATGCAAGTTTAATAATTCTATTTCTCCAGGTTTCCTCATGCTCTTTTGCAGCCAGCTTCTTTCTGGTAGCCAAAATTTTTTTCTTAAGTTCAAGACAAGTACATAGGGCCAGAGAAAAGTATTATTGTATGCATCGTACATTAAAGATGTACAGACAGGCTATCTTTTTTCAACTGAATATATTTCATATAGGTGTGGTTATAATTACAAAAAGGAATAGTAAAATGCTTGTTAATTAAACTACGTTTTGAATATCATAAGCTATTACACTGTGCTGTATGCTTACGATGTCACGTGAACATACAGACAGACAGGAGCACCCCTAACCTGTTCCATGTTGTCTCGGTAATTC